CCAACATGATAATCGGTAAGTTATGGAAACTTACTAAATAATCTGTTGTGAGTAGGTTGACGGCCTTGTAATCGTAGTCAATTTTCTTCAAGTTAAGTGCTGAAATACTGAACGATAGAACTCTGATTTCAGAAGTCCCAAAAAAAGGCAAGCTCCACATACCAATCCGGACCCGCCATGAACATGAACTTCTCCAGTAGGAGTACAGAACCGGTTTTGAGCTCGACATCTCTAAATGAAGGAATATGTTAGCAAAAAACACCTTGGCAAAAAGTGAATCAAGGGGGAACTGTTACGGACGCTGACACAGCAATAGCTAACGATCGTCATCGGTCAAAGCGGCGATAGCACAAGGTCGAATAGACCGCCCAAAAAACCACATTACTAGTGGCAGAGGCCAAAGATTATTGATAAAGATATCAACTAGTACTGGAAAAACTTAGTATATTGTAAAATTAGACATTTATTTGTAGTTCTGGATCATTTATAATACCATGAAACCTCGAGTTATCACAAGCACACGAGTTAAAATATGACCAAGAAAAGTACAAAAATGAGTAAAGATACCAATAAATGAATAGTTTATGGCAGCGACTCACCGTGTACACAACAAAGCCTTATGGATTGCTTAAAAGTATAAATAAGATAAACAAATCGAAAAATGAGCAAAAAACAACTTCACAGTACGGAGTAATACGTATGGTCAAGAAACGCAAATCTTCTAAGCATTTTATCTGACACTACGCCAATTCCACATGAGATCTCGACAGTGACGATACGATACCAGATATTACAGCCTTTTTCTGGCCTCATTCTCGTCCAAAGCTCCAACACCTATCAGCCTGCTCTACATTCAGGCGTAACGAACAGTGAGCAAAAATATTACTACAATAATGAAAAATGGAGGTTAAATATTGGAATTCCCGAGTGAGCTGATAGCACCATCTACCATGCCGTGGACGAGTTTTCAAAGTACGCTGCCTGGAGGAGTCTCCAGTTGTAATCCGATTGTGTTTTTTGATTTTATGAAAAAGCGAGAACTTGCATTAACATGGTGTGACTTTATACAGTACTGTAACTGACATGTAAATATTTTTCGGTCTAAATTATTTGAATGACAGCCACACCAGTATGTCTCACCAAGTACAGGACGAGCTCTAGCCAATAAAAAAACGATTGCGCCTATCTTTTTCACTTTTACCTATTAATCTGACTCAGCTGATTACTCCCTAGTAACGGGCATCATCATAATGAAAACGGCGTTCACAGAGTTATACGAAATGTCAAGGTCTTCAGGATTTGACCCAGTAATATGGGCGGGGATCTCTAAAACGCGATCGAATTCACATATGGTATATTGTGCTATAAACAAAAAACTCATTCTATCCATTCAATGATCTCATTCCCACTACTTCTCGTTGTTGTGGCGTATTCAGAACTGGGTAAGTGTAGATATTACTCTTCAGTTACTTTCAAACACTTTCTCTACTTCGAGCGTTTTTCTGCTCTCCTTTGCATAGCACAGATTTTGATCACCAATAACTGGTTGTTATGCACCGAATATGTGATTTATCACGCAATCGATCGTTAAATAATGAATGAGCCTTTTTTTAAATTGATTTTTATTTGTTTTTAATCAGCTTATTTATGTTTCACGTCCAACCGCTCCGGAAGTTACCCACCGGAACTGGGCTAAAAAATAAAGGAAAAAACGCTGATAATCGCTTTTACTTTCTTTAGCAATTATGGAGGACCACAGGTGAAGCTGATCGAAACATTGGACTCAGGCCAATTTGTGGGTAGGTACACTGAAGGAGAGGAGGGCGAAGAAGAGAAAACAAGGGGGTGGGGGAGGCGGGTACCGGGTGGCAATACTCCCAGATCATACGGCGGAAGAGGGGTTTGTGTAGGATAATAATTAAGGGTGTTTCAGCATTTTTCAAGGAAATCAGATTCCATCTGCCATGTATGCCGCTATTCAATTCGAAATTTAGTTTAATTAGGGCCTCTGTTCCGTAATGAGGCCGGCGGACTGTTAGACACCATGGCTAAGATTCTGATGCCTAGCTGGATACATGGCTTAGACAGGAACTAATCACTGAGAGCGTGGGAATAAAAGGGACTGGATGTATACTGTTCATCTTTATCAGCCCTTCTCATCTTTTCTTACAATGAACCCCTTTGTGAAACAGTTCGTACTTCCCCAAAGACTGCACTATGAAGTTAACAACTTCATAAAATTCTGTAATTTCACTCCCTCATACCATCAATGACAAAGTTTTACTAGTTTTGTAAACTGGTACGAAAAATCGATGCACAAATTTTGTATCATCCGACTGTCCCCCTAATTTTCAGAGCCAACAACTGTTCATTCGCTACCCGATCCACATGAGCCGGTACGATTACTGGACGCTCAATTACTACTGGATGAATTACCATCAACACATCAATTACAGTATTGTACTAAATTTAACTGTAGTAAACAAATGATCGGTAACAAAGTTTTATATTAAGTATATCAAAAATTTGTTGACATATCACAATCTATTAGGGATAAGTGCATTGATGACCATTTTGTATCCCCAAATTTCTTACAATTGTAATTGACAATAATTGACGATATGATATGATATGACAACATAAAGATGCGGGTTTTTACCAGTTCCTCCAACTTTTTCAAAATAACATATAGATAACATCTAAAACCTGCTGGTGAACATACTACCCGGATTTATTACCAGTTAACCACGTGTTTGATGAAAATGACCAGCTCAAAAAACCAACTGTCTGGAGGTGAGAGAAAATGGGCATGATATTTTGGAGTACTTGGCGGAAAAAGATGACACGTGACACCGTCTGTGGCAGTTTGTCCAAAAAAGGTTCAAGTGAGGTTCAAGCTCATGTGAGAGAGCTCAGACAACACGACAAACCCATCACCTGATGTCCGAGTCATTCACTTCTCATCATGGACCAGCACCTACAGACTACCAACGACGGTTTCCCCATTCACCATCCCATGTGAGAACGAACCACTCTCTAAACGATCGTGATAGTTACACTAAGCGCTCTACTAATCGATGGGCGGGGCTCATATACGCGGAGCGCCTCCCTCATTGGCAGAATTGTCTATCTACACAGCAACCAGCCAATGAGGAACGAATGAGCTACATTCTTTGTTGCATTCATTTGCATGTTCATGCACTTTTGTTCTTATAGTGAGACATATGGATTGTCCTTTGAATTCTTCATGTATTCAGATGAAAACTATAATAACAGCAGAAGTCACTATAAATGTAGAAACATATTAGCAGAAAAAAATGTCAGAAAGAAAGCTATGACAAGCAACCACGTGATGAAAATCCCAATGAATTTGAGTGAACATCGATAAGGAACTCGATAGGATGGCAAGCAATCGGGAAAATCTCAATAAACTGTATGTCATTTTGATAATAGATGATGAATATACAGATACTATCAGCGAATCACCGGTAACGAGACATCATGCACTGAAGAGCACACGATTAGTAGTATTTCCTAGTAGAATCAGATGAATCGATATTACCAAATTAATACAGCTTATAAAGAAATTAGTTGGTACAATATAAAGCAGCCAATTGGAATATATACTCTCAAATCAGGGGAAGAATTAAGAGATGACATAAGCAGTGACCGGGCGTCCAACAGTGCCCGCACGGCACAAATAGGTGGAAAAAAATACAAAAAACAGTAATAAAACGTAGAGTCAAATTCTATGCTAAAAGCACAAAGGACCGCATACCAGAGCATGCTATGAAAAGAGAAAAAAAAATCGCGAAAAAATGGGAAAATAATAGAACCATCATCAAAAAAAAAACTTTTCAAACCAGTATGTCTGAGACGTTGGAGCAGTACATGTATTACTTAGCACTATACTTTGTAGGGCTAGCACGACTTCGATTGCACCATTCATAGAATTAGAAATGACGGAGGGTGGCCAACACGAAGACCACCCATTATGCGCGCGGACATACAACACAAATAATAACAAAAACCAATCGTATAACACCTTCTTATCATGGTGATGTCTCAAAGCCTCATGATACTCTGAAGGCTCGAAACAATATAGGACCTTGTAAACTTCATTTCTGATGCACTTAAGATCACATGTCAGGGAAGCGTCCGTTCCGCGCGGCGTCAGGTCACGCCCCACTGACAAATGCGACGCCTGTCAAAAATCGCGGGATGACGCGCCGCGTGCGACGGCTGCGGCGTGACCTAGTTTCGACGGACGCGTGGAACAAAGCGCACCCATATTTTCAGGGCCCCATACTGCTATTGAACCCTCATAGTAACTGAAACAGAACCATTGTACTAGTAGCCAAGGGTAAAACGTAGAATGAATGTAAACGCGAATATATACGAGATCACTTGGTGACATATGGTCGTTGTAACTCGTTGACCCTGGGAGAGAGACGGTTTTAGACATTCTGCTGCTGATGAACAACACCACTTTGGGCACACACCCACACATACACCTACAGACACACACATACATAGTAGATAGACATGAGACGACCAACGATACACGCATACACACAGGGAGAGAAATCAATTATGGAAGAAGCGAATGAACCGGCGCTTCACAAATGAGATCGGCGACGTGTGATTTGTGACGAGTGATGACTGAGATGAATGAAAAGAAGGCTTTTCATCCAGTTTGATGACTCGAAAGAACAAAGTCGCGTCAAACTGTCATACTCGCATGCATACATACAACGAACCAACGACAATTACGACTATTCGAGTAGTCGATTTAATCGTCGCATAACTTCATGCATCACTCGTGGCCCTTCAAACGGCCAATTCCATCGATTCTCTAATCGACCATCGCCGACATCCGATTCGAACCAGTAGCACAGCCAGAACCACCTGAATTGTTTCATATTGATCGATTAGCGTCAGAACACAAATAGGGATATTAAATCAATAATTAAATCAGTAATCGCAATTAAAAAACTCGTGCTTAATACCATATCAAACAACAAATATTAATTCATCGTCTTTTCCTTATTTTATTGGATCGATATGAAGAAAATGTTTTTTAAATCGAAAAAGAGAGCAATTCAGAGACCCNGTAACAAGTAAACCGTGGCCACTACAACACAGAACGGATCGATCCCTTCCCGGACCGAATGAGCTCTAAACTTGAACGGATCTGGAAGACAGGCCCCAAAATAGCTTCACAGACTT